TTGAAAACCAGACAGCACACACTTCAGATGCCAACTGAGGATTGGGTGCCCTCCTAATGAGGCACAGTCCTGGGGTCTAGGCAGCAATCTCACCGCTCTCTGGTTGGACCCAGCCCCATGTATGAAGGACATAGGTACTTCTCCATGAATGCCCAAAACCACTGGGAAGATGAAAGCAAAGGGATTGTTCGCATCCAATCAATCAGGTGGTTTCATAAAAACATAGAATGATTTGGGTTGGAAGGGACCTTAAGGCTCATCCAGCTCCAACCCCCCTGCCAAGGGCAGGGACACCTTCCACTAGAGCAGGTTGCTCAAAGCCCTGTCCAGCCTGGCCTTGAACACTGCCAGGGATGGGGCAGCCACAGCTTCTCTGGGCAACCTGTGCCAGTGCCCCACCACCCTCACAGTAAAGAGCTTCTTCCTTATAGCTAATCTAAATCTCCTCTCTTTCAGTTTAAAACCATTTCTTCTTGTCCTATCCCTACATGCCCTTGTAAAAAAAACCTCTTCAGATTTCTTGTAGGCCTCTTTTATGTACTGGAAGCTGTTCTCAGGTCTCCCCAAAGCCTTCTCCAGTCTGAAGTAGGGAGATTTTGGGTTGGGTTTTTTTTCCCCTTTGGTTGGTTGGTTGGTTGATTTTTTCATCCAAGGAACAGGGTTAATGAGTGGCTGTGAATTTTATGCTTATTTGAAAATAACATGCACTAGTCTGTAACTGAGTTTGAAAAGGGCAGAACCATAAAAGTGCTGGGCTTGGAAGAGAGCAGAAGCCTTTCTGCTGGGAAGAGCACTGAGAAAAACTGTTAAATGCCCACCAAGTATACTAATTGCATCCAGTAATACTACTGCACTATACTGTGTGCTGAAATAACAACCGTACTAAAGCTCAACAACAAGCAGGAGTGGAGAAACCTGCAGTTAAACCTCCATTAATACAAGATGGATTAAACTTTTCTTTTTCTTAATCCTCTTTCGCTGTACTTGCATAATCACAATTTAGGTGTAAAAGACAAATAACGACCTAACATTCCTTTTTTTTTATTCTAAACAGCAACAGCCGGGGCTTCTGGAAATTGAAACTGTGATTTCATGATCTGACAGAGCTGGCAAAGCTGTACCCCATCATCTAACAAACTGCTCTGGGCCAAATTTTGGCCAAGGACATGGGACATGAAGCCAAACCCCTGGAGGTTTTTCACCTGAGAGTGACAAGCCACTGGCAAGCACATCTGCATGAGGAGGTTATTTTGCTCCTGTGAAGTTCCTGGTCTTTGTGCAGAGCTGGGAGGAGTCTACTGCATCACCTCAGGGATGCATGGATGGGCAGAGATGGCTGGAGTGAGGGAGATGTACCACTGCCCTGTGTGGATGATGGACCTATCTAAAGAACAGAGGGACTTCACGTTAATGCCCTACAAGCTTCCAGCTCCACCAAGTGCTGCCTGCATTACCGCTTGGCAGTGTATAACGCCAGCTAGATGTGCATGACAGCAAATAGTGTAAAATAGTGTAAATCATGCCAGACATTCTCAAGACATGCCAACTCCTGCAGCTGCATCTGCTGGATATATGTCCATCTGGATCACCTGGAGGATTCTCCAGGAAGCTCCTGCATGTGTGCAGGCCCAGGGATTGGTAAAAGAGTTCAAGTGCAGATACAAATCCCACTGTGGGTGCAGGTGTTGCTTCAACCATTAGTACATATTGTCTGGTTATTATTGACAGGAGGGATGCAGACTGAATCATAGAATTATAGAATGGTTTGGGTTGGAAGGGACTTTAAAGCTCATCCAGTTCCAACCCACTCTGTCAAGGGCAAGAACACCTTCCACTAGAGCAGGTTGCTCAAAGCCCCATCCAGCCTGGCCTTGAACACTGCCAGGGATGGGGCAACCACATGTTCTCTGGGCAAGCTGAGCTTTGGAAGCATAGCCTGTGTTTCATTTGTTCAGGCTTCCTTTGGCTGTGCTCTCCACAGGCTGCAGTGTTAGTCAGAGGTTACTTATTTCTCATATAATGCTAATCTCGGGCTACTCGTGCTGAGCACTCTGGCAGCACAGCTTAGAAACAGAAACAATGCTTGTAGCTGCTTTCACCAGCCCACAGCCTAAGGAGTGACGCCCAGAGGGAGGTGAATGGATCCACACCCCATTGCTCTAAGGCAGCATAGTTTGAGCAAGGGGTTAAAATGCCAAGTGCTTTAATTTACTTTTTGTAAAATTGGGCTAACATTTTTCATTAAAAGTTGTGAGAGTAAAATCTACTCATTGTGCTTTCAGCTGGTGATTGAAGAGGGCGGTTCAGGGTGTGCAGAAGGAGCAACGCAGGCATCACTACAATGTGAGGAGTTAGGTAGGTTATATTTTTTTGGTACCAAATTTTGATTTTACTTCTCAAGGTGGAATTTGCCTCCTGAAGGCCACAGCGTTTTTGCAAATGATACAGACTGTGTGGAAGCCCGTCAGGAAACATTGACTGAAGGGCTCAGAGGAACTGCAAACAGCCCCGTAAGTGAACACACCAGTCAATACAAGAAAGCACTCCCCACGGAGCAGAACCAGCTGCCTTCAAACCTGCAAAGGGACCATCAGCATCAGCAGCCACTCTCCCTCCTGCTTCCCCACACCTTGCCCTTGCCCATCAGCAGATGAGGAGGGAGCTGCTGCACCACCCTACAGGTGGTACAGCTGCTGCACCACCTCTACAGCAGAGCCATGACAGAGAGGAGGTTCTCCTGGGTGTTTTGGTATCTAATGGCTGCTGCTTTAAATAAGACTTATGCAAATGTCCTTTGCCACAAACTTATATAACTACCGAGTATCTGTCAACTCAAAGTTTGACATGTAAGTGCTGGGTTTTTTTTCCAGTATATTTTATTTTTGGAAAGAAATACAATAGGGCATGATTTTCTGCTTGTGCGTGTCTCCATCAAAGGTACTTTTCTAAAATGAATGAAGCTTTCTGGTAAAGCGTTTGACCTATTTCATCACTGATGTAACAGGTTGCCAAGAAATAAAAAGCAGCCAAATTGTTCCTATTTATTTGTGAAGCTGTGATACAAGGTGTAGTTAGAAAAGCTTCTAAAACTTGAACTGTTTAATGAACCTCCAGTTATTTTCTATATGGGCTGCTCAGATACGAGTCAGTAAGAACACCACAAAGTTTTGACTAACAAAACCCTATACATTATATTTTCTTTTTTTCAGCTAGAACTGGCTAAGTTGGTTTCTGCAGGGAAAAGTTTCCAGAAATGCAGCCTAAGGTTCAATAGCCTGAAAGAAATCGTGCTGCAGAGCTACCCAGTCTGCCACACTTAATGAATAGCCCAGTGCCTGCATGGGCTCTTGTCTTCTCTGCATGTAAAATATCTCAAAAGCCATATCCAGACCCAAAACAAGGTGGTGGAGGCACCCATGCTCTTTCAGATAGGGAGAAGGTGCCAGGAACATGAAATGCTGCAGAAAAGCCCTGGGAAACAGAGGAGAAATGCTTTGTTTCTGCTAGAAGGTATTTTCCAGGATAGACTACACTGTGGACCCCAAGGAGGTACAGTAGGTGAGATGGATGGTTAAATGAGTGCCAGCATTGCTTTTGCCAACATGGGTTGTTTGCCACTATGCTCTCTGCCTGCAGTATTTCCTCTGCCTTTGCAAGCCCTGGTAGAAACGAGGCAGGAGGAGCCTTGCCTTGTGTTACTACCTGAGACAAACCCATGATACCTATCTTGTACTGACATCAGGTAGCAGCTCTTAGGTAAAAAATGCTATTGAAATCTTGACTGTGCTTTCTTTCCCTATTAAGTTATTTCTTACAACTTAAGCAATAAACCTTGAGGCAAGCAATGTGGATTCATCCATCAGTTCTGGTGGGGAGGTGTATATCTTTCTGGAGGCATCTGACAATAGTTGATTTTATGATGCAAAAGTGAAGGTTATCCAGGTGATATCTTTTTTCTTGTTTTCCATACAAAAGCATGCATAGGTACCTGTTGGAGGAAGCAGACCTTATTCACCATCTGGAGCCAATGCACACCGGTGTCACTCCACTGGCTTTAGCATTTCTATATGGAAAAGTCTTAGTGCTGAGGAAAACAAAACTAATGGATGGTATAGAGACAGCTACAGCATGTGTTAAATGCTTGAATGTTTCCTGCTAGATCTGCAGTATTTTCCTGCTTATGCAAGAATCATGAAGGTGGCTGCTCTTCTTTAATGTGTGTGTTTTGTTAGATTTGGCCGAATGTTCAATGACTTGCGCAAATAAGTCCATTTCCTAAGTGAGAAGGAAAAAGTCCTGTCCTCCCTCCAAATAAGCAGCCAGGCCCCTTCTTTCTGACTTCTGTGGCCCCAGATTAAATGCTTTAAATTCTATTTTATAAACAAAGTTGTGTCAATTTCACAGTGTTGGTATAGTTAAAATTTAGTATCTCCTGATGAAGTGTTAGGTTGAATGAAATTATTAGTATGGTTATAGTTTATACGCAGAAATTAAACGTGTGTACACAGGGCTTTCATGGGCATTAATGTTACAGCTTTTCTGAGAAAAAAAAAAAAAGGGTACAAAGAAGTACCCAAAAAACCCTATCACTCCCACCCAAAAGGCCCATAGCCTGATCAAGTTGTGCAGGTTTTGGGAAAAAAAATGGTAACCAAACAATGCAGCTTCTCTGCTAGGTAAAAGCCTCTGTGGGACCACTGTGGCCACACAGAATCTCTTCCTATAACTGAGACGCAGGTTTTACTTGCAGAGAACAGAGCAAGCCTGTGAAGTCTTGCAGGCTGTGTATGACGCTGTTACCCATTCTGTGCCCCATCCGAACGCTGTGGATGCCTGCCCTGCCTGCTGCCAGTCCTGCAGCACCCAGCACTGTGCCTGGCTCCCACATCGCGAGGAGAGGTGTATGGCAGTGCTGAGTGAACCTGACGACAACTTGCTTCTTCAGCCTGCGTGAAATCACACACCAGATCCTCCACTACCAACAACCAGGTAGGTCTGTAAAGGGTCCCATCACTTTATTTTATTCTGTTCACATTTAATAACACAGGCACAGCGGAGATTTGAAACACGTGACACTAGGTGTTGTGACTGGTTCATTTACAGAGACATGTTACAAGTGAGTTCACATCTTCAAATCTTTTCAAGATTCCAAAATTTCTTGTTTCCCTGAGTTGCATGACATCTGCCATCAGATCTGCCTGTTGGTCAGTGAGTGAGAGAACAACATCGGTAACAAGACAGATGTGATTAGAGATTAAATGATCCTATAGCACTGCTGCTGATTTGTCCCTTAATTTATAGGTTTGCATACATCAAACCTGTGCTTCCTGTGAGTACTGGAGTGGGGAGCAAGACAGGCTCAGGCACCACACTGAGGAGCAGCAATCAGCCCCCTGGCCCTAGCAAAGCACTGGATGGCATAAAAGACACAGTATTTACAGAAGAGGCCAAATTCTCTTTTGGGTTATACCTGAGCAGCACCATCAGCTACAGGTGTAACAGGTGGAAAATGGCCATCACTGTTAATAGGAGTTTGAAGGCAGTAAGACTTTTGCTAACAGACAATTCATTATGGAGCATCAGTTGTGGAGCAGCTGGGTAATAAATACCAGAACAAAGTAAATAGAAAGCTGCTATTGCACTTGCATGCTCTGAAACTCTATTAACTGATCCACAAAATCTACATGTTGGTGTGAAAATAGATGCAATATAAGACATTAACATAAAGGATGGAAAGTTTTCTGGTTTGCCTTTTAATGGCATACTTCAGTTATAAAGATCAATTGAATTTAAGATTTTTATGGAGGAAGTATGAGAACATGTCTGCCTGTGTCTCCCAATGCAGATTTTTCTATTACTTTGTCAGGTCACATTGGTTAAAAAAATGTTCTCAATTTAATACTACAGCAAACTAGTACAAGTACACACAGGGCTTTATGGAGAAACACGGTACTGGTAACTGACTCATATATTTTAAACAGCAAGAAGTCGGGGTTTACAGGCAGGAGACCTGTCCTCAACAAACCTCGGGGGTATGGTAGTGCACAGCATAGGAGCAAGTAACTACAGAATCATTACAAATATCAAAACAACTAAAAGCTTCCAAGTTCAAACACATCAAGTCATTCACAGACAAGCTGAATAGAATGTGTACAGATGATTTAACTAGTAAAATATAACAAAAACAAAGCTAAAGAACTTTGGTGGGAGATTGCATTCCATATTTTCATAGCATCACTGCAGTCCTCAAGTCAGCATTGTCCACTGTCCTTGTCCCTCTAGTACATACTCAAAACAGATATTTGAGTACAGTCAGGTTCTAAGTCACTTCTGTGAGGGCATTTTTTTTTCTTTCTACTCAGATATGACATGAAGGTTGTTTATTTTTATCCATTTTATTTCTTCTTTTTTTCAGAAATCATTTTCCTCATTCAGAGAAAAATATTTGTTTATTTAAAAATCAAGATTATGAAAAGTGTATCAAATTCTGTGTTCACTACTCCAAAAAGGCCATTCAATTTTCTCTTTGTACCATCTGGTTACATGCTAGCAAAATTTTTAGCAAAAGTAAACTTAACTCTGGAATAATTGATCTCAAATTAGCAGCTACTGAAATCACAGAGACTATCAAGTGGACTGGGCTATATTCCCCTGTTCAGGATGGTAAACCTACCTCTCCTGCTAAAGTCAGCGTTAAAAATCATATGGGAAAAAGTAACAGAAAAATAATACTTGTGTGTTGCCAAATTCCGTAATCATGTGTCTCCTTTTATGGTCTCAAAATTTAGCTTTTTGTTGGCTTGTTGTTATATTTTGGGATTTTTAGTCTGTAACTGCCAACATTACATCTTTCAGCAAATCCAGATGGTGACAGAAGTACAGCTTTAACGTTTCAATTCGTATTTCTTTCTCTTTCGTTATGGCTTTCTCGGAAACATGGGTAAGTGATGCTCCAGTGCTGGAAATCAGGTGTCATGTGATAACACTTGGTTCTGTCCAAACACGCAAACTTTCTTGCTTTGTGCTGGAGAGTCTTTTCTTTGGAAGCGGTTTGAGTCCAAACAGGCGGCAAGCAGCAACTCGGTACTTCTTTGACATGATGTTGTAGAGGATGGGGTTGATGGCTGCACTAAGGTAGAAGAGAACAAAGGACACCAAATTGCAGTACTGGCTGATCACTGCTATCTCCAAGGATCCAGCTTCAAAGGATTTGGAAAATAAATATCGTCCTACGTGAAAAGGCAACCAGCAGAGTATGAAAGCAAATACCACCACAACTAAAATAAAAACAGCAGAAGAAATTGTGTTAAGAATTAGTATTAAAATATGGGTGATTAAAATTCTATTTTAAAATTATATTTCTTTAAGAAATTAATCACAAAGTTTGAAAATGCGCCCCATATGTTTTCAGGTTCATGTCTCTCAATACAGTTTCTGAGGTATAAATTAGCAACACTTAAAACACATTGATCAAATCCAAACAGACTGTCTGTATATTACACAACTAATATGACATAGCACACTTCCAACCTATAAAACTTAGGTTTTCATAAATAGAGAATGAAAGAATCAAAACGGTGACAAAAACAGCATGATGATCTGTCATCTGCAGTGTGTAACAAAAGAAAACTATGTATGATGTGATAGACTCAACTCTGTGGTTTATAACAAAGAATGTAATCTCTGGAAAGCAAAATTATTTAAGGCAAAGGCCCAAAAATAAAACAAACCACCAGAATGTGGACTTCTAGAGCACACACCGCAAGGTAAGAACAGAGAAGTGGTGCACCCCTGCAGTTTGCCCGTTTTTTGGAACATGAATTACTCCAATAAGAGTAAAATTAAACATATATACTTCATAGTTATATAGTATATATGTAATATTATACTATCACTATGATTGTGTTTATATGTAAAAATAATGTATGTAGAATAATAGGAATGTGTGAGCTTTGAACACTTGCCCATTTGAATTTCCACCCTAGAGAAAGGGAAACATTTTCCATTTATTTCCTGTGTGTTATTGATCTTTCTTACCTTTCTTCTTTTTCACAATGCTTGAGTGTATATCTGTTAATACACCAGAGAAAGAAAACCCAAAAATTTGAGCAAGGTGTTTTTGACATTCTTAAGCCATTTTCACCTGTAAACCTGTTCTCCCATGTTAGCAATCCTGCTTTCTCATGTCAAGTCCCAGCAGATAACAAAATTCAAAGAGCTAAGAGGAATTGTTATAGGGATCTTTTCCCAACAACTTCCTGAACAAGCATTCCCGCGTTTAAATAGATACTTATGCAGGACTTATGGTGGGCTATAAGGCACAGGGCTGAGGTTCAGAGTACATTTTTCAGGTCTGCATCTTCTTGAGTGAACCACTTCAGTTTTTTCCTTAGTATCTTCACCTACAGAATTCAGATAACGCTTCCCTTGCTCACAAGTGGAGCTTAATCCATGTAATGAATATTACCATGATGGTCATTACGAACAGGCTTTTAAGCATAGTCAGTATTTTCATATGTAGACATGTATATTCCTAGTCAGAAATAGACAGTTTGATCTTCACGCATGCAGAATCACCTTGATTTCAATAGGAACTGGGTATGATAACTGCTTTGCAACGGCATGTCTAGATGTTTAATTAAGGACCTAGAAGCGTAACCTTTCTCTACAATTTAGAAGAGGTGCTGATGCTAATCCCATTTACTTGATGTTCCATGCAGAACATCAACAGCAGTGAGAGCAGATTGTATTGAGTATCTGCTCATTCTGAGCCCTTGTTAATTTCTTTTCTTTCCATCAGACTGTTATCATTTAGAGAATATTGGCTCCCTGTCAGAGGATGGTCTTGCCACTGTCTTACTTGGTTGTCAGACCTTGTAAAAGGAAAAAAAGGAAAAAGGTGTCTGAAATACTGTAATGGTTGTGGCAATGCTTCAGGGCAGGAATAAACAGTTATTATTTCAAAATTCTTTATAGTTAAGTATGCAGAAATATAAACATGGTAGTAATATATGCTAGCAATTTACTTAGAATAAGTAGACATTCATAAGCCTGAAACTCTAGAAGTGTAAATGATGAATTACTTCCAAGGTCACACCAGACTGAAGTAATCCTATTGATCATAAAATGTAGCTGAAAGGGCACAAAGAATGCTGTGGGTTTTATTATTCTTCCTGCTATTGCGTAATAATACAAAAAATCAGTTAGGCTCCCAGTTAATATTTAAAGGTACTTAGGACACACCGCCACCTCTTCATCTATCTTATTAGCCCATCACTTCAGCACAGCTTAAATGAGCACAGCAGAGCTGCTGCCCATGAAACCTTCTTCACATAAAGCATCTCATTGCTGCTGAAATCCATGGGTTGACTTGCACTGCAGAGGACTTTTGCTTCAATAAAGGCACTCAGCAGCAGTAGGATTCTGCAGTTTTTAGGCACTAAACTGCAGAACAACTTTTTGATTTTGTGCATTGAACTCCGAAACATGCACTGAGTTAGTACGTTAAAATTTGTGTTTCCATGTGCCAGCAATATCTGTCGTTTAAACCATTTAGCAATGTCAATATACAAAGTTAGGAATGACAGTGTCTGTCATCTTGATCCTGTCTTCTTGAAGTCAGTGAGAATTTACAAGATCACAGACCTCAAAGGAGATGCAGTGCTCCCTGTTCATCACATCCTGGTGTCTTGTTAATATAAGAAGGCAGATTAATTTTACAAGCACGGCCATGTAAGCTTATGATATTTGCTAAATTTGCTAAAACCTCAGCACTCTTTTCATGTGAAACTAAATGTACATCATATCCTGCTTTGCTTAGTCTGCAGTTCAACTTTGTGGCTTGAGAAAGGTTTCCTTTTGTTTAAAAATGAAATAAACTATCTTTCTGTAAATAACATCGGTACTCACAACCAAAGAGGAAAAATGTTAAAGAAATCTCCAGGGCACTAGCTAATTATAACCATAATATTTGTCCTTGCCAGTGATTGTTATTAACATTTAACTGCTTGAGAGTCTTCAGCTCAAACCAGTTAGAAACAAATGTAGGGAGACAGAAGAGTTATTCTACAATAGCTTGAAGTGTAGCACTTTGTATGAAGCGTTTTCGATAAATGCTTTCCTTTGGAAACAGCTATAGAGAACTACCAAGTGTTCTCAGTCTTTCTCTCACACACACACAACACACAGACACAGAGACACAAGCACATGCATCCTTTGGAAAAACAGTGCAAGAAGAGTCGTACCTAACATTTTCACAGTTTGCTTGTTGTTCTTATCCCTGATGACAGTGTTTGGACCAATGTTCTTTCTCTTTCTCCTCCAGAGCTTCCTCCCAATGAGGCTGTACAGCACAGTCAGGCAAAACACAGGCAGGAAAAAGAAGATGCTGGAGGTCCAGACCATGATTGTGAGGAGCCCTGAGCGGATGGCATACTCTGTGGCTCGGCACTCGTTGGTGCTCAGGGGGTTTGTGCCATTCTCATGCTCGACCCCCACCAAGATGAAGATGGGTCCAGCGCTAATGAAAGAGATGCCCCAGAGGAAAAGGATGACCAGCTTGACCTTCCCCTTGGTAATGATCACTTTAGCTCGGAGGGGAAAGCAGATGGCAACATACCGTTCCACGCTAAGGGCAGTGATGTTGAGGATGGTGGAGTAGGTGCAGCTCTCGCTGATGAACTGGAAAAGCTTGCAGAGGAGATCCCCGAAATTCCAGGGCCGGTACTGCCAGAGGCGAAAGAGGTCCAGGGGCATGCAGAGGAAGATGAGCAGGTCGGAGAAGGCCATGCTGGACAGGTAGAAGTTGGTGGTGGTCCTCATGTCCCGGAACCGCGACACCACCAGCATGGTCATGAGGTTGCCAATGATCCCGATGACGAAGAGGAGGATGCAGGCTACTGTGATGCCTGTAAGCACTGGTGCGGGAAACAGGTGCAGCGGGGGCTCGCCGCCCGTCCGGTTCTCCGCGTCGCGGCTGCCCGCGCTCCCCTCCCGCATCCTGCCGCCGCGGGCTGCGCATCACCGCCCGGAGATCCCCGCGCCCCCGCAGCCCCAGCCCGGCCTCCGCGCCGCTGCGCGCCCTCCGCTGCGCTGCTCGGGCAGGTGCGGAGGGCGGGGAGGGACGGGCGGCCCCGCCCCGCCGCTCTCCGGGTGCTGCTGCTCCCCCCCGGGCCCCGAGGTGTGGGGACAGAGGGGCTGGTCCTCGCCGGCGCGTCACGTGAGACGTGGGTGCGCTAGCTCCGCGGGCGCGGACCGGCGCCGCAGGACCAAGAACTAGCCCAGCCCCGCAGCGCAGATCCGGCGCGCTGGCAAGGTCCGCACCGGCAGCATCGCTTAAACTTTCTTCCCAAGTCCGGGCGCGGGGCTGTGGGGTTTCGGCGCTTCCCACCCAGGACAAACGCTCCCCGCCCGGCACCGCTGCCTGAACCGCTCCTGCCCGGGGTGCGGGTACCAACAGTCGCTGCTGCGAGGGGCGGTCGAAGTCTCCAGAGTGCGGTGCCTCCCTTGCCTGCAGCCGGGATGCCGCTCCTTGCCCGCGCACATACAGTTGCTGGTGCCCGGGGTGCGCGGTCCTGCGCGGCACGTGGAGATGTCGCGGAGGGTATAGGAATACAGGGGTGGCTGCAGATTCTTCCGTCTCGTTTCGTACCTTTGTTTTGCCCTTGGATCTTGGCAGGAGCCCGGTAAAGGCTCCAGTTCAGTGAAGCTGCAGTCATCACTCTCTTCTACATGGTTTATCTGCAATTAAATTTTGATTTGACATGTTTCTGTTGTCCTACGCTCTGCTCCATGCGGACATTTACATTTCTGTACTGTGTGTTTCGCCACTGCAGACTCATATATACTACTAAATGACAGTATTGTATTTGAGAAGGAATCAGACAGAAGCAGCACAAGGTGAGACCAGAGACAGTAAAATCACACACACACACACACACACACACACACACACACACACACACACACACACACACACACCCCAGCACTCATTTCTCCGTCTTCCTTTCCAACTCGTCCTCTGAAAGTGTCTGTGAGAGTGTGCTACTGCCCAACCTCTTTTCACTCCTTTCTTTAATCTACCCAGAGGAGCTACATCCTTTCCCTTGTACCCCATGTCCCAGGTGGCAACCAAGGCTTCAAATCCATGCATCTAGTTTAATTCAGCTGAGAAACAGCTGTATGAGTTTTTTCCCATACATGCGCTCCCATACATGTTCACCTACTAGAATTATGATTTCACAGCTGTGGAGAGATAGAGTGTAAGTGCTGCCTGTGCTTGTTTCTGTAATTTGCTTTCTGTCCTAATGTAAGCATTAGCCTTAGTGCCTTCCCCATATCCTAATTTGGACTATATATTTCTGCAATTTTGTTGGAATCAGTACTCATCCTCCCGCTCTTGAACCATGAGATAGTTTTGTAGCAAGTTACTCAACAGTTGCTGAATTTTATGGGGATGGCTACACATCAATTGCAGTTGAAAGGAAGAAAGAACCTAATGTGCTTATCACTTAGTTTATCCAGTTGCCTATGGAATTGTTTTATAGGTTTCTGAAGAAAAATCACAGGCTTTACGCCACCGATGTACAGTTATTTCATACTAAAATGTTGTGTCAAATCTAATTTAAATTACATTGCACCGCGTTATGAAGGAGCTAGTAACTGTCTCTTTGTTTAAACTGCCAAATACTTAGTATTATTATAAAGAATTATTTCACTTTGGGATTCTTTTTGTGACAAATTCTCAGGCCAGTGGTATTCACTGCAGGATGTTGATATTTAGCAGATAAAATGATCTGAAGGTATAAATGTGACTTCTCTGTGTACTGAGGATCCTTCATTCTAATGAAATTCTTTCAGTTTTTGCTGAGCTGTATCTTGTAAAAAATGACTATTTCCCTTTCCCCAGGGAAAGAGAAAGCTTCCTTTTTTTTTATTATTTGTACGTACTGATGTGTGTAGCAAAATCAAGTAGCAAAAAGTGAGGTAACATGATACATATATGCTGAAAAAATTGAGCTTGTAATGTAGTGATTTAACAATTCATTGTGAGCTTGATGTGTTGTGATGAGCCCATGGGATCAGAAAGCAGTTGTGCTTTGAATCCAGCAACACTGAGCCCCTTCTTATTTGAAGGGTACCATGACTCAAAGTCTTCTCTGGCTGCTCTTCCTTCATGGGGTCAGAGCCAGAAAAAATGTTATCTGAGGGAGAAGGAAAACAGCTCCAGTTTAATGACTCTTTCTGATTTTTTTCTTTTTTTTTTTTTTTTTCAATTGTAAGCCAAATTTTGATGTGATTATAAAGAACTGACATCTCACAAACTTTATGATAATGAGTTCCTGGCTCTGCTTTGCATATGCTGAAGGACAATGGTGAAGATAGCAATGATAGAAGGTATAAGAACTGAGAAAGAAAATATCTTTAGGCTCCAGAGAGTTAGTTATTAGCCCTCAGATGCAAGAACAATACTTTTATGCTGCCTTACCAACTGCAGAAAAGATTGAAATTGCTAATGTTATTGGGGTGAGAGAAATTAACAGAAAGAGGCTGAAGTTAAATACTTTTTATGCTCAGTTTTATCTGGATGTGTGAACAAAACATACATTAACAAATAATTTTTAAAAGTATAATGGACATTTACCGTGGAACTTTTAAAATACTGGTGCTTCTTTCAGTACCTTTAAAGCTGTGTTGAGCACTGAAGAGAAGGTAGAAGAGAGTTTCTTTTTATGGAGTTTTGAAATCTCTCTCCTCTGTTCCATTCTTTCCATTTTCTTCTCATCCAATGAAGCTTTAATTCTTGTTTATATCATTGCTTGTTGTCATGGGAATATCTGAAGGCTTTGAATATAGAATGATTGTGGTTTTATTGTGAAGAGATGAAGAAACTGGAAAACAGACTTCAAGGGAGAGAGCTCCCATTTAAAAATGACGCACCTCCAACAATTCACAGAAAAGCAAATGCAGGAGTTTTTGTTATATTCAGGGGCAGAAGATGTTTTGACTTCTATTATAAGTGTATTTTAAGAACAGAAGGTGGTATTTGGTATATGCTTTCAAAGGTTATGGTTTTGCAACTATCATCATTGAATAGTGTTGACGAAATAATGGTAATCTAACTTCATACCGTAAAACCTAGAATGTGCTCAAATCACTTTATAGTTGTTTATGTGGCAGTAAACATCTTCAAGCAGACTTCAAAACAGAGTTAGTTTATTTATCAGCAAAGCAGTGCTTTAATAGCACTAATTCAGAGGCATCTGCTTTAGACTTGGTTTTTCACTATTCTTCAGCTCACTGTGCCACTGGGTCATGCCCTGGACATTCATGTCCCTCTTCTTTAGATTTGTTCACCAATTGGAGAGAGAACATGGCTCACTGGTGTCATGTTTTAACATCAGCTGGCAAGTAAGCGCTGTGCACCCACTCACTTGCTCCTTTCTGGTGGGATGGAGGAGAGAATCAAAAGAGTAAAATGACAAAACATGGGCTGAGATAAAGACAGTTTAATAGGGTACAGCAAAAGCTGCATACAAGCAAAGCAAATCAAGGAATTAATTCGCCACTTCCCATGGTCAAGCAGGTGTTCAACCATTCCCATGAAAGCAGGGCTCCATCACACTTAATGGTCACTTGGGAAGACAAATGCCATCGCTTTGAACGTCCCCTGCTTCCTCCTTCTTCCCCAGCTTTACATGCTGAGCATGCTGCCACATGGTACAGAATAGCCTTTGGGTCAGTTGGGGTCAGCTGTCCCAGCTGTGTCCCCTCCCGATCCTTGTGCACGCCCAGCCTGCTCGCGCGTAAGGATGTGTGAGGAGCAGCAAAGACCTTGACTCTGTGTAAGCACTGCTCAGCAGTGACTAAAACATCCCTGAATTATCAGCACTGCTTCCAGCACAAATCTAAAATACAGCCCCATATCAGCTACTATGAAGAAAGTAAACTCTACCCCAGCCAAAACCAGCACAATTTGTCACAGGTATGTTTGCTCTGAGTTGAAAGTACAAAGTTTTTATTAAATAATAATTTCTAGCGTGAGAGTAGTAGATGTGTCCTGTAACTTTGTTTAATTTTTTTTTCCATATCATTGGACAGACATATATTTTTGATCTCAAAAGATCTGCCAGTTTTGATTAAGCTGTCCTGGCTTTGGATGGAAATGTTCACCTGACTTACGTGTGTTTATTAATATTCCTTATGATTTGAGTTCCGATAGTGCCAGAACATGCAGGATGGGATTGCATGGTTAATTATTCTCAGCCATCCTTTCTTGTTGATACTTCTGTCTCGTGTTAAATGGGGAGTGATAACTTGGCTCGATTCAACAGCAAATCTGCAGTTAATCCACTTTGCCTTCACCCAGCAGTTATATGTGCTAAATAACCATAACTTGATGCAAATTGAGAATAATATGAACTGAGGAATTTACAATTGGAAGTATCTTGAGAAGGAATTTGTGCCTTGAATTCTATTGTGTTTAAATTGCTGGTTTCTGAAAGGCAGTTTGAACAACTTTGCATTTCCTAATGTTTGCTAATGCTGTGAGTGTTATATATGTGATGTGCTCATGAAAATGGGAGCTGCTTAAACCAACAGGCTTCTGCCCTAAGTTGCAGTCTTGTCTCACTGACAAGACCAAAGCAGTTTGACAGCATTTCTGTCATGCCCTGGTGTCACAACAAAATGTCACTTTTAAGACTTATAGAGGAAATTAACGGAAATGTCTATACACGTTTGGATTATGAAAGTCTCAGGAAGAGGTGTGGTATTACAAAGCAATAGTGATGTAGTGGTCAGGCAGTTAACTGTGGTATCCTGGCAATCAGATTTTTAACAGGATTTTTAACATATGATATAGCATGCAATTCAGTTTGTTACTAGAGAAAAGTATGGAGAACCAAGTTTTGGAAAATTCTGATGAAAACTGATGAAAACTTCCATGTAATTCTACATAAAAAAAAACCAAACCCAAACCCAACCTGTGAAAATTGGATCAGACCCAACAATATCCTAATTTGTCTTCCATTTCTGCTACTGAATAATACAAGGTGCCTTGGAGGGATGAACCAGATCTTGTCTCACTGTGCCTATTTATGCCATATTGATCATTGCATTCAGTCTTTTCTTAGAACCTAATATTTAGATGCAATCTGACAACTAAAATGATGAATTTCAAAACCTCAGTGTATGAATCAGGCTTTTTAACTGTTTGCATGGATTACAGCAAATGCATCCCTGATCCTGAGTAGGCAG